CCTATACTTACATACTTACCTGTCCCAGAATTAGTCAATTGTGGTAATTTCAAAGATTATACACCTACCTGTGAACATGTATGAAATTTGAGTCCTGTGACTTCAGTGTATTGGATACTGTGTCCATCTCAATAGGTGACACCTCACTGCTTCCACCACAGTTCAAAAGAGTGAATGTCTTTCTGACCGGTGATCGTATTTGGATATATTTGTGACTGTAATAAATAAAATGTTTGTTCAATGAAATTTTTTTGTTTTATGATGTTAATAAAATGGTATTAAGTCAAAACTGAGTCAAATTTTCAGAAGGGTGGATTCTACCCCAAATTTGAAAATAAGGTCCAAAATTGCATGAAAACCTAGCAAATAAGGCAATATACATGTACAAAGATTTCAAAAGGACAAATTGGCAAACTCTTTGTTGATTATTAAAAGTTAATCATTATGAATTTTTTGTATACCAAAAGATTCTTATCTGTTCCCCTCTGCTGATTAAGTATGTACGAAAAGTTTCACCTCCCCCATCTAATGAAGCTTTATTAAGAGAAATAGCAGGTGCCCCCTATATCATCTTTGTTTACAATTAATTTAGACAAAAGACCCCCCCCCCCATTTTGATAACACAGTAGACTTCAGTCACTGTAGCCTTAAACAGCATTAACTATTTGTCAAGTTTTTGGAATTATAAGCCTAAACAAGGAGAATTTAAAGCAATGCCAAAATTCAAAAAGGGTCATTATAAATCATGGTTACAAGCCCCAAAATGTGCCACATAATAAGGGGGTGAAAAGTAAAGAGGAGGAAAACTTACCCGCACCATACAGCAGACTGTCCGAGGAGATGAATAAGATGGTTTCGGACACTCCGTCAGCTGCGGAAAAAGAGGAAATGCTTGTGCGGGGAAGGTGCCACTGTCTTCTTCGGCCAAGGAAGCTGAGAGATGAAACCCCACCACAGTGCTTAATTGAAAAGGATTCAGTGCAGTAAGTCAAATTTTGTATAAAACAATGATAACAAAGCAATATTTTTCAAATATTCTTACAGATTAAGTATTTATATATCAGATATCATAAGTTAAAAATGTAAAAAATTAAGTTTCTATGGGGGGATTACATGTTATACACAATTACATGTAGATACATGTAAATACATGCAAAGTTAAATGTGATACATGCAGCTGAACTACATTTTAACATTTACAAACAAATCATAAGTGTAAAAGTTGAAACAATTAAAATTACATGATGCTGAATTTAAGTTCTGTATGTCTAGTCAGTAGGTCTAAGGGAAATAACTCTAATAACTACTCTCATGCTCTTCTACCTGTTGACTGTTTCATGCAAATAAACCATTGTGACTTTACCTAGGCTGGCTAACCAAAATTCCCACAGACTTCTACACTTGGGGAAAACAGCCGAGATGTGGAATGAAGTTGTCTCACTGCACCAGCTACAGATACCCGGCTGTGATGGACCCCTCACGTGGGACTTGGCATCTGAGGATAGGCGTGGTCTTGCAAGTAGAATGGGCCTCCACTGCACAAAATGCCTGTTTGTTTCCCAGCGGTACAAGTTATACGAGGAGGTTGAGACCAAATCCACGGGTAGGAAAACTGCCACTCTGAATCACAGTCTACAAATTGGCCTCAGTCAAACTCCTATAGGTAATGATGGGATGAGGAAAATTCTTCTTTCGACCAACACTCCCCCTCCTACTCGTAATTCCCTACAAAAAATGTCAAATAAAATTATGCCCATGATTGAAAATATAAATGAGGCTGACATGAGTAACTGGTGTCGCCAGCTGGTGGATGTCAACACCTTAAGGGGAATTGACTCCCCACATGCCATCCCCATACAGTGCGATGGCATGTACAATAATACCCTGTACTGGAGGGTGGGTGAGACACCCTTCCAGCCGGCGACACAGACAGTGTACTCATTTGCTGAAAATGTTACATCAAAACATCAAATAGTTAAAATGGTTAGTAAAAATAAAATTTGCTCAAAACATGGCCACTTACTTGATGAGGGCACTGCTAACCATCAGTGTAGTCCTGGGGTGTGTGGGGCAAATCTACCAATGTCCCATACCATTGGGGATGAGTTCATTTGGGCTAGGGAGGGGATGGAGGAACTCCTCTGCAAAGGTGGCCTCGAGGTAAGGGAGGTAACCACTGACCCAGACAGCTCTGCCGGTCGAGCTGCAGATTCCCTTTATAAGGACGGTCTCCTGCAAAATATCCCAGTTCACTATATTGACACTTGACAGTTGTCCGAGTCGATCAGAAAGGCAATTAAAAAAGATCAGAAACTTTTAGAGGTCATGCCAAAGAGAACTAGAGCAGAAACAAGAGGCCCATTGGCCTTATAGGTCACCTGAGCATCATGCAACAACTTTCAAATGATTGACTTTGGTTCATGTTTTAAGCTATGGCATTCACAATTTTGAAATAGGTACCATTGCTAATCATAACTATACATTTAGCAATTGTGGAGTTTGTTTAATTAATACCCATAATCAGGGTAGGGGAACAAAAATGCATGTCAACTAATCAGTAATATTCAGCAATAATCAGGATTGCCCCTATCACACATGTACCCCTGACCCTAGGTCTACACATTGCACAATTTTTGAAAAGGCACACTTGCTTATCACAAATGTTTGATTAATACCAAGGAGCAGATTTCAAACAATTAATTTTCAGAATATAAGTAGAGCCCCCCCCCCCCCTCTTTGGTATCCCTGGCCCAAGGGCAATGAAATTCACAATTCTGGAAGAAGAGCCCTTGCACAAAATAACTATATAAATAGTTCATGTGCTTATTACCCAGGAGTAGAGTAAATGCATGAATATCATAGATGTAATGTGTTATCACTATATAATCATTATAGAGCCATGCCAGCCCCTATCACCATAACCCCTAACCATGGGGTCATAAGATTCACAATTTGGTAGAAGCATTCTTGCTCATCATAACTATGTCCTTAATTAGTTTATTTAATACCTAGAAGTAGAGAAGAAGCTTTAAAAGAATAAATGCCTTTTTACTATATAATCAATATCAAGTGAGCCCCGCCTTAATTAACACCATAACCCCTGACCCCGGGGCCTTAAAATTCACAATTTTGGTAGAGGCACTCTTGCTAATCAGAACTATGTACTTAATAGTTAGTTTACTTAATTCCTAGGACAAGAGAAGAAGATTTTCAAAGATTTAATGCATCTTCACTATATAGTCAATAGAGCCCTACCCTTACACCAGAATCCCTGACCTAGGGGCCAAAAAATTCACAATTTTTGTAGAGACACTCTTGCTCAACATCACTATGTACTTAATTAGTTTATTTAATACTCAGGAACAGAGAAGAAGATTTTCAAAGAAATAATGCATTTTCACTATATAATCAATACAGCCCCGCTCTAACACCAGAACCCCTGACCCTGGGGCCACAAAATTCTAAATTTAGGTAGAGGCACTCTCGCTCATCATAACTATGTACTTAAATTGTTTATTTAATACTCAGGAACAGAGAAGAAGATTTTCAAAGAAATAATGCATTTTCACTATATAATCAATACAGCCCCGCCCTAACACCATAATCCCTTACCCTGGGGCCATAAAATTCACAATTTTGGTAGAGACACTCTTGCTCATCATAACTTTGTACTTAATTAGTTTATTTATTACCCAGTAGCAGAGAAGAAGATTTTCAAAGAATTCATGCATTTTTACTATATAATCAATAGAGCCCCGCCCTAACACCAGAACCCCTGACCCTGGGGCCATGAATTTCACAATTTTGGTAGAGGACTCAATACTGATTACAATCATACCAACAGTTTGACTGCTTGATGTCCAGGAGTAAAGAAGAAATTTTTTAAAGATTGCACTAGTTTTAGTGGTTTTTACCCAACTCCCAGGTCCCAGGGGGGCAGGGACCATGAAATTCATAATTTTTGTTCCCCTTCACCCATAGATGCTATATGCCAAATTTGGTTGAAATTGGCTCAGTGGTTTCAGAGAAGAAGCTGAAAATGTTCAAATGATAACGCACGACGAACGACGACGGACGAAAAGTGATAGCAATAGGTCACCTAAGTTTACTCAGGTGACCTAAAAACCAAACTTTTGCATAATTTTGCCCTAGATGCTGTTGACAGATGTACAGCTGAGATTAATCAAGCTAATGCAGTATATGCTGGAGATGCAGATAAATTAAAAAACCAGAAGTCTCTGTCGAGACTGAAGCTCTACTGGTTTGAACTTATAGCAAAGGAAGAGAAAGTACTTAAGCAGCTGGGATTTGAAACTTTATAAACAGCATTAAATAGAATAATGATCGTTGATAAAGTCTCTTTATGTTCTTAGTGTAGTCTACTTGTGTGCCAAGTTATACTGAAATCAGACCAAAACTGTAGGAGGAGTAGCATTTTGAAACAATTTTACAGACATTTCTATTTTTAGTAACCACAGCAACACCGTTCATCAAAATTAAAATTCGATACACAGAATTATGTATCTTAGTGTAGTCTACTTGTGTGCCAAGTTATATTGAAATCAGACCAAAACTATAGGAGGAGTAGCATTTTGAAACAATTTTACAGAAATTTCTATTTTTAGTAACCACGACAACATCATTCATCATATCAAAAACCGATATACAGAATTATGTATCTTGGTGTATTCTACTTGTTTGCCAAGTTATACTGAAATCAGACCAAAACTGTAGGAGGAGTAGCATTTTGAAACAATTTCAAAGAAATTTCTATTTTTAGTAACCACTGCAACACCGTTCATCGAAATCAAAAACCGATATACAGAATTATGTATCTTAGTGTAGTCTACTTGTGTGCCAAGTTATACTGAAATCAGACCAAAACTGTAGGAGGAGTAGCATTTTGAAACAATTTTACAGAAATTTCTATTCTTAGTAACCACGGCAACACCGTTCATCGAAATCAAAAACCAATACACAGAATTATGTATCTTAGTGTAGTCTACTTGTGTGCCAAGTTATACTGAAATCAGACCAAAACTGTAGGAGGAGTAGCATTTTGAAAGAATTTCACAGAAATTTCTATTTTTAGTAACCACAGCAACACCGTTCATCGAAATCAAAAACCGATACACAGAATTATGTATCTTAGTGTATTCTACTTGTTTGCCAACTTATACTGAAATCAGATCAAAACTGTAGGAGGAGAAGCATTTTGAAAGAATTTCACAGAAATTTCTATTTATAGTAACCTGGGCAACATCGTTCATCGAAATCAAAAACCGATACACAGAATTATGTATCTTAGTGTAGTCTACTTGTGTGCCAAGTTATACTGAAATCAGACCAAAATTGTAGGAGGAGTAGCATTTTGAAAGAATTTCACAGAAATTTCTATTTTTAGTAACCACGGCAACACCATTCATCGAAATCAAAAACCGATGCACAAAGTTATGTATCTTAGTGTAGTCTACTTGTGTGCCAAGTTATACTGAAATCAGACTAAAACTGTACGAGGAGTAGCATTTTGAAAGAATTTCACAGAAATTTCTATTTTTAGTAACCACGGCAACACCGTTCATCGAAATCAAAAACCGATGCACAAAGTTATGTATCTTAGTGCAGTCTACTTGTGTGCCAAGTTATACTGAAATCAGACCAAAACTGTAAGAGGAGTAGCATTTTGAAACAATTTTACAGAAATTTCTATTTTTAGTAACCATGGCAACACCATTCATCGAAATCAAAAACCGATACACAGAATTATGTATCTTAGTGTAGTCTACTTGTGTGCCAAGTTATATTGAAATCAGACCAAAACTGTAGGAGGAGTAGCATTTTGAAACAATTTCACAGAAATTTCTATTTTTAGTAATCACGGCAACACCGTTCATCGAAATCAAAAACCGATAAATAGAATTATGTATCTTAGTGTAGTCTACTTGTGTGCCAAGTTATACTGAAATCAGACCAAAACTGTAGGAGGAGTAGCATTTTGAAAGAATTTCACAGAAATTTCTATTTTTAGTAACCACGGCAACACCGTTCATCGAAATCAAAAACCGATATACAGAATTATGTATCTTAGTGTAGTCTACTTGTGTGCCAAGTTATACTGAAATCAGACCAAAACTGTAGGAGGAGTAGCATTTTGAAAGAATTTCACAGAAATTTCTATTTTTAGTAACCACGGCAACACCGTTCATCGAAATCAAAAACCGATACACAGAATTATGTATCTTAGTGTAGTCTACTTATGTGCCAAGTTATACTGAAATCAGACCAAAATTGTAGGAGGAGTAGCATTTTGAAAGAATTTCACAGAAATTTCTATTTTTAGTAACCACGGCAACACCATTCATCGAAATCAAAAACCGATACACAGAATTATGTATCTTAGTGTAGTCTACTTGTGTGCCAAGTTATATTGAAATCAGACCAAAACTGTAGGAGGAGTAGCATTTTGAAACAATTTTACAGATCTTTCTATTTTTAGTAACCACGGCAACACCGTTCATCGAAATCAAAAACCGATATACAGAATTATGTATCTTAGTGTAGTCTACTTGTGTGCCAAGTTATACTGAAATCAGACCAAAACTGTAGGAGGAGTAGCATTTTGAAAGAATTTCACAGAAATTTCTATTTTTAGTAACCACGGCAACACCGTTCATCGAAATCAAAAACCGATACACAGAATTATGTATCTTAGTGTAGTCTACTTGTGTGCCAAGTTATATTGAAATTAGACCAAAACTGTAGGAGGAGTAGCATTTTGAAAAATTGTTTACAGACAGACGGACAGACGGACAGACAGACAGACAGACGGACAGACGGACGGACGCCGGACGCATTACTATCGCATAAGCTCTTCTGGTCTCTGACCAGTAGAGCTAACAAGCTCTCATATGCCAAACATGCAATACTGAAATGTTACATGGGAGATCATGCACTATGCAGAAAACACTCTCTGGTGTGCAAAGGGAAAGTAAAAAATAACTGGGTTAACAGGAGTACTTATTTAGGTCAAGGTTTTACAATACCGTCTTCCACGGAAAATTATCCTCTCCTGGTTAGTGGCATGCGGCTCCGGAGTAAGGTGCATCAGGTCGATGCATAACTTCTTATGGTAGAGATGACTGACCTCCAGGCCTGCAACTGCAAACTGCGACCTAGTCTGTCTCTTCTCTACCATAAGAGCTACCCGATGCACCCTCTCGACTGTACTGCCCTCCCCTGGCCAATTTACCCTCATCTTCCCATACCCATTTCTTGCCCTCCCCCTGTCCAAAGCCTGCAACCCCCCACTTTTTCACTTTTTGAGGCTAATTTCTCCCTCAGGGTCTCAAATATATAAATATCTGGCATTATTCTTAGCTTATTAATACTCTTTGAGTAGAATAGCTAAAGTAACAATTTCTGTCTTTAAAGTCACATGACATAATTTTCAAAATGGGGGTCTCTATATTGGGAAAAGAGTACCAATTAATTTCCCATAGAACTCAATACAATCTTAGGTCCCCTCAGTACTTACCTATTGTATTTTCAGACAAATCCTTGGTATCACTGAAAACAAGAGGCCCATGGGCCACATCGCTCACCTGAGCATTGTGGTTAGGAAAAAATTAGAAAATAGTTTTCAATACTATTGAAAAGTTTAAATCCAAAAGTTTGGCCCCGCCCTACCCCTGGGGGTCATTTTCCTATATATTTCAATATAAAAATTTGGTCGGCCATTGTGGCCCCGCCCTACCCCGGGGGTCATGATTTGAACAAACTTGAATCTACACTACCTGGGGATATGCGCAATCATGGCTTTGCTGTTCTTAAGAAGAAGTTCCTAGATATTTCTATATAAAACTTTGGTCGCCCATTGTGATCCTGCCCTACCCCCGTGGGTCATGATTTGAACAAACTTGAATCTACACCACCTGGGGATGCTTCCATATAAATATGAGCAATTATGGCTTTGCTGTTCTTGAGAAGATTTTTAAAGAATTTTTCTACATATTTCTATACAAAACTTTGGTCAGCCATTGTGGCCCCGCTCTACCCCCAGGGGTCATGATTTAAACAAACTTGAATCTACACTACATGGGGATGCTTCCATATAAATATGAGCAGTTATGGCTCTGCTGTTCTTGAGGAGAAGATTTTTAAAGAATTTTCCTATATATTTCTATATAAAACTTTGGTCGGCCATTGTGGCCCCGCCCAACCCCCATGGGACATGATTTGAACAAACTCGAATCTACACTACCTGAGGATGTTTCCCCATAAGTTTCATCTTTTCTGGCACAGTGGTTCTTGAGAGGAAGATTTTTAAGACATACCACCAAATTTTCACTTATTCTCAATTATCTCCCCTTGAATGAGGGCATGGCCCTTTATTTGAAAAAACTTAAATCCCCTTTCAAGTATGCTTTATGGCAAGTTTGGTTGAAATTGGCCCAGCGGTTCTTGAGAAGAAGTCGAAAATGTGAAAAATTTACAGACAGACAGACAGACAGATGGACGCCGGACAAAATGTGATCAGAAAAGCTCACTTGAACCTTTGGCTCAAGTGAGCTAAAAAACCTCGAGATATCCAATGGTTTTAGATAATGAGGTTAAAAAGCATAAAGACTGAACAGCTGGGACTTTCAAGTTCCAACAATGACATATCCAAAATAATGAAAATATCGAAGACAATGATACTTAAACTTGCTGTACATGTCAATCAAGGATTGGAGACAGGATTCTCAAAAATTAAACCAAAAGTTCCAATCAATATATTAGAACTTCCTTTAAACAAGAGATGATTATAAAACACTTATGCCCCCCTCCTCCCAAATTGGAATTTTTCTTTTTTTCTAAGTCCAAAAGGGCATACTCTGTCAAAAATAGTGCAATTGTACCCAAAACAGAACTTGACCTAGATATTTATGTGATAAATCTGTATACTAAATTTCATTTTAGTATGTGCAACCTCTGCAAAGAAAATGAATGGAAACTGCAAATAATTGGAATTTTTGTAAGTCCGAGGGGCACAACTCTGTCAAAATTGGTGCGATCATACCCAAAACAGAACTTGACCTTGATATTTATCTGATAAATCTGTATACCAAATTTTATTTCAGTATGTGCAACGGTAATAAGAAAACGAACAGAAGCTAAGTGGACCAACAGACAGACAGCAAAGCAATATGCCCTCCCTTCTTCGAAGGGGGGCATAAAACTCAAAACATCTACAAGTGTAAACTTAAGAATATTTTCCTCCATACATAATAATATATTGCTGGGGAGTCTAGCTACCTTGCGTTTTCCCATCATCACGTCTTTTGATTTAGGTCCGAGTCTGATATAACATGCCGTGGTGTCTGCCGCAGTAATTTTTAGATCCTGACGTGTAAAATATGGCGTCAATAACTAATTTTTTTAGCAGTCTTTCAGCATCAGCCCTGCTGTAATTTTTACCATGACCATGAAGGGGTATCCTGTCATGTCCAGCATCAGAAATTTTACCAGTTTTAGCTCCTTGAAATGTAAATTTGGCACTAAACTAAATGCAAATATTGGTGACAAAACTAATAAGTCACATACAGAATAAAAAAAATTCCATTTTTTTTTATAAAAGAGGATAACATCATTTATCCAGAAATAAGTCAGATATATATTAGCTTTCCATACAAAATTTATATGTAGCAGAATTCAAATTATTAAAACAACAATATTTCTCATTAATCCAGATATTTCATAATCCAGACAATTTGCTCATAAAACAAGTTCTAGATTAATGAGGTTCCACTACAAATGGTTTCCACAGTGACTACAAATGGTTTCTGAGAAAGATTCTCCGTAATCTTTCTTAACCTCTAAATATATCCACGAAGTAGATAAGGGAGTAGTCGTTTTCTCGTCTTCCATTGACAGTCATATCCTTTACACATTTCCTTTGACATCATCTGTGACATCACGCAGTTGGAAGGACTCCTTCATATATACATTGCATAAGAATTAAATAATCATTTATCCAAAACAATTTATATAAGTTTTAAATACAAATGTACAAGATTTTTTTTTACATTTTGGTATATATCATTCAATCTGTAATACAGAAAATATACCTGTACATGCACAATAGTGTTTCTTTTGATTTCTTCTTTCCAATTAAAATTCAATCATTAATTCATTTATTGTACATGTACACAATTTGTGTCATGTGTGAAATAAATTCCAAAAAATCTTTCCAATTAAAATTCAATAAAAATTAATTCATTTATAAAACTAACCTTAGACACACAGTTGTCACACATAGCTCCACAGAAATTCCACACTTCTCTCTATCAAAGTCTCGTTCTCCAAAGACAAGTAATTTAAAAGCATCTGTGATTGTCGACAGTCGGCCACGTTCTCACAGTACTGTACCATTCTGAAGAGGTTGTGTATATGAACTCTTTTGGAATCAAATGTGGCTGCCTGATCCACTGTAAAGAAACAAAACATAATCAAAATGTGGCTATTTAATTTTGAACAAAATCAAACATGTTTCCAATATGTACAGTTTAAGTAACGACCTTCATATGTGTATAAGAAATATCATATTTCTACAGAATCCATTCCTACTTACTCTCTAATATCCTTATCAGTCTTTTGATGTCCTGATATGTTGTACATTATATCAGACCCCCCCCCTACTTACTCTCTATAATCCTCCTCATTCTTTTGACGTCCTGGTACGTGTAGTACATTATAACAGACCCCCCCCCCCCCTACGTACTCTCTATAATCCTCCTCATTCTTTTGACGTCCTGGTATGTGTAGTACATTATACAGTGGGCTAGCAGCTCAGCTCACTCGGGCTCGCCCTGTCTCCTGATAAAATCCCTCCACTGACTTTGGCAAGGAGTAATGAATGACGAATCTGACATCCGGTTTGTCAATTCTTATTCCGAAGGCAATGGTTGCACATACAACCTGAAATGCATAGGGTGTCTAGGTGCTTGGGTTTGGAACAAATTGTCCACATTAATGAAACATACTTGATTTTTTTAGGGATGTTAATGAATTGTTGACTATTCGACTATCAGTTGAAATAAACAACAATTGAATAATGAAACAACATTTTGAATATTTTCATATTTAAACAAGACGCCCATGAGCCACAACTCTTACTTGAGTAATTTTGGCCCTTCCTATTCTTCACTAGATTTTCCCCAAATGAGGCCCTGCCCTGCCCTGCCATATGGGTCATAATTTGAACATATTCATTTGTGTTCTCAATTTGTGAGCAATTCAGAATTTACACTGTACCCTAGGATGCTTCCACATAAGTTTTAACTTTTCTGGCCCAGTGGTTTTTTAGAAGATTTTTTGAAGAAAAATTTCAGATGTGTTTCCATTCAAAAACTGATCCCCGATTGTGTACCATTATCCTACCCCTGGAAGTCATGATTTTAACAAATTTGATTATACACAAAATAAGGATATTTAAGGAGTCACTGTCTAGTTAGGAGACTATTCCAGGGCATCAACGAAAGTGGGAAACGTGGGATAATTTGCATAACGGGCAAAGCCATTTGACAAATTTTTCAGTAGTATTTCAATAGAGATATATACATGCCACTGGAATTAAAGAGAAATTAACAAGACGACTTTTGTAGTGTTTATCATAGAGAAAACAATTGGAAATGGAAATATTTGCATAAAAATAAGACTCTTGGCTTTGCTGTTCTTGAGAAGATATTTAAAGATTTTCCCTATGTGTTCCCATGCAAATTTTTTATCTCCCTTTGCGGAACCATCCTACCCCTGAAGGTCATGATTTGAACCAATTTGAATCTAAACTACCTCACAATGATTCCACAAAAGTTCATTTTCAAGCACAGTGATTCTTGACAAGAAGATTTTCTTTAATGATGCCATTAGTTTTTAATGAAGTCATAATCATCTCACCTTGGAAGATATATGGCCCTGAATTTGAACAAATCTGGATTCCCTTTACCCAAAAATACTTTTTGGCAGGCTTGGTTGAAATTGGCCCTTTGGTTCTTGAGAAGATGAAAATGTGTCTGAAAAGATAATGTGAACAATGATGACAGACAATAGACAAATTTCGATCAGAAAAGCTCACTTGATCCTTCAGCTCAGCTGAGCTTAAAATACAACAATTTATTAGAGACTGTATATTGTTATTTTGAGGTTTATTTTTGAATAGATTCAGGAAAAGTGATTTTTGAGTAATAAATATGTCATTATATGTCCGTTTTTTTTAAAACAAATCATTTTCGGAAAATGTTTCCAAATATATGACCTCATCGTTCGAATAATGCAATCAAACAATGGACTAGGAAAAATAAATATTTTGATGTCCCTAACCTAGACTCTGAACAACTCTAATCATTAACCGTCTGGAGAATTTTTTTTATTGTTAAATGCTCGGGAGTGATTGTAACTATTTCAAGCAGCTTAAGCATGGAAGTATTTTGTGGAATTGATCACTTATTTTGGAAAACATAATTATCAACACAATATTTTGTTTCTGTTGCACTCCACTCATTATTATTTTCACTTTCTTAGACTTTTATACATTTGAAACATACATGTCACACAAAGACGCATCTACTCTAAATTTCAAATTTCATTTTATCATGGAAAGGGTGAAAATAAGAATTCAGCGTAGACTGAAGAAGGTAGGTTTATTCATTTGTTATATTACATGAATTTCTCTTTACTTGCACAGTAATAATACAGAGTTTTTAATTAAAGAGCATTACAGAGCTTCAACTCTCCACTGCTTTATACAATGCACACAACTGTTTCTTTTGTGGGAAACCATGGAAACAGTTTAAGAGTGAATCATTACGATAAGTTTTATATGATAAATCATTGTCATGTTTTATTGTAATAATGGTCATAGATTCATTGCAGATATTTGATTTTCTTTACTTGTATGTTCAACAATTGCGCAACAAACAGATTGTCATTTGTATCTGTACACAGTCCCCAGGGATAACTCAGTCCACAGTCTATATAACGGAGGAACTGTCCATCTTGGTCTATGATGTGGACACAGTCATTGTTAACATCAGCTGTAAGGATGCAATTCTGACTGTCTGTGGTGATTCCTAGTGGTTTGAATAGTTTGTTCTGTAGAGCAGGAGAATGTCCATTCTACCTGAATCTCAGTTTCCCGGCCTGATTGACCACTACTACTGCTTTAGCTCCACTGTCGGACACACAGATATCCAGGTTTTTGTTCTCTGTTATATACTCTCTATAACTATCAAAGGAATAGAGAGGTCTACCTTTATCATCAAACTGAATGGACTGTTTCTTTGTTGAGCCAGTCTAACGGACAACTTTTGCTTGTTTGTAATCATCACTGTCCATGATAACCAGGAGGTCACCAGAGGATGTACTACAGACACTGCGAGGTCTCCAGTTCTGTATTCGGATAACCTTCTCTATCTTCTCATTCTTCACAATGTTCACAGTTCTATCACTTGTATCAGTATAAACTAGATCTCCACTTTTTGTCACTGCTATGTCAAATGGTATTTTCCATGACTTGGTTGTGATTGACTTGAGTAGTGATCCCTGATTGATGCTGAAGAGTTTCATGGTGCTGTCATATCCATTTGTCCAGATTTCTTCATCACTCAGACAGACCACATTGTAAAGGTTATCTCTATACCCAGTGTCTATGGTGGTGACAGTCTCTGGTCCATCAAGCAGCTGTTTGACTGGAGGATAGGATCCAGCTTCTGGTGATTTCTGTGTTGTCTTCATGCTGTAGCCATGTTCATCTGTTTTTAAAGAATCTGATGAAAAAGCTCCAAATATTTTACTTAGTTCTTCCCAATGAATTTTTTCTGGAATGAATTTGGGTAACAGTGGTATCATTTTGTGTGGAAGATTTATGTATCTAGATACATTAGACTTGACACTAAATAGTTTTGACAAGTCATTGGTGTCTATTGCAGTTTCAATTGAATTAATTTCTTCTGTGATGTCAGACATTGTCTTGTTTATTTCATTCAGTTGTTTCTGTAAAGTTTGTAACTGTGTGTTTTTCATCTCATCAACTTCAGCTTTAATTTTCTTGACAAGTTTGTCAATTTCTCTGTGCCAGTCCTCTTCATGTTTTATTATGGCTGTTGAGAGATCTCCATATTCCTTTTCTAACTGACTCATTCTATTTTGTACATTAGAGGCAATGTCCTGGTAAGTTGGATAAATTGTGTCAATTAATTCATTTCTTTCCTTTACAATAATATCCTTCTTTTCCTCGAGAACTTGAAAGACTTTAGATAATTCATGACCTAAATGTTGTTTGGATGCAAGACAGCTAGGACAGACAGGAATGTCACATTGTTTACAGTACATTTCACATCGTTCTTTGGCATGAGTTGTACATCTAGGGTAGAGGGGAGTGCATTGCCTGTCGTGAAATTTGACAACCTTGTGATCTTTAGATTCACCTGTTGAGATGTGTTCTCCCACGCAGGCTTTACACAGGTTGACAAGACATGTATCACAGTGCATCTGTATCACAGCGGTCTCACACAGGTCACATCGCATCACATCCTGGGCACTGGTACGGGGGTCCATTGTATTTTGTAACTGAAACATAAAAATTTCAATAAATCAAAAATTATACATTCATTGTCTGAATTTGAGGGCTACACGCATTTTTATGGAAATGCAACATGTAACAGGTAGATAAACAAACTTTACAGACAAACATGTCTGTAAAGTTTGTTTATCTACCTGTTACATGTTGCATTTCCATAAAAATGCGTGTAGCCCTAGAGGGCTTTGGGAAGGAAATTTTCTTTCCCTTAGTTATAAAAGTCTGTAATACTGAATTCTTATACTTTCAGACTTGTTTTCATATGCTCAAAAAACTTCTGAATTTCTTACCTGACTTTAGTAATGGTGTCCACCCTTTTGATCAAACTCCAACTGAAGTCTATCTGTTATGTACTCTGATCGCGTGATAAACCTGTGTTATCTACCTGTCAGGTGTTTATACTTCCAGGTCCAGAGAGGAATTTACTTTCTACAAGTGCATTTATACTTGTTTTATAAAGTTCGTGTGATTTTTGTTCTACAGGTCAGAAAATAGAAGAGTATATGTCATCTTTCTATTTGTCTGTTTGTGTGTAAGCAATTCTTACAGTTTTGGCTGCTTAATTTTAATATAAGTTGGCATGCCACACAAGTAGACTACACAAAGATACATAATTGTCCCCCAATTTTGCAAGAGTGTGGTGACATTAAATCTCATTTGTTTGACCGTCTGTCAATTTGTAACAAAAACTTTTACCTCAAGTTGGTCATATCTTTTGAATGAGAAGAGATGGGAATTTCATGTGTTTGACCTGTGACAAGACCTTTCTAAATGCACTAAGATTTTTTATTCCTTGACCTTGACACTGGAGTTTGGCCCCCTTCTCAAAAATGTATACTTTACACTATATTGGCTAAAACTGTGGAATGAGAAGAGATTTGGCTTTCGTGCTACACATGTGTATTACCTGTGTCAAGACCTTTCTAAATACACTTTGATTTTTGATGTAACCTTCATCTTGAAATTTGACATACTTCTCAAAAACTTTCACGTTGATCATTCATTTAGAAGACATTTCACATGCATATTATATGTGACAAGATCTTTCTATACACTATGATTTTTTACCCCATGACCTTGACCTTTACATTAGACCTACTTTTCACATTTTTTTTATTTTCCGCATAATTTTCTATAGAGAAGAGAAAGGGCTTTCATATTTGACGTGTGTATTATCTGTGACAAGATCGTTCCGAATATGTTATGATTTCTGACCCCTTGACCTTCAACATTGACCTAATTTTTCGAAAAAATTGGTGATTTCTTCTGAATGCCATATGATAGGGCGTTCATGTTTGACACAATATGCCATAAATAATGGCATATCAAAAAGACACCGAATGTGAGGGACCCCAGTTCTTTGATTTTGCTTATTTTAATTTAATTACAACTTTTTTTTAGCTAAAGTACAATAAATTACTCTTACTTGTAAAATTGAAAATAGTTCCCAATACATTTCCTCACGAAGTCAAGTATCAATATTATTGACGACTGAAGATGGAGTCTCTCAATTTTTTGGGGGAGGGGAGGGGGTATTAGACTGTTCATTTACCTTACATCGCTGTCCATTGAGCCACTTTTCCTGCATAGAGATTCTGTCGTTGTCACCGAGACCTGCGTGGTAGGATACAGCCTGGATCCCAGATTTACCCTGCTCTGCAGCTACACATGTACCGTGTCACACTCCTTTCTATGAACAGGATAAAGTCAGGTCCACATTAAAATTGTAGCTGATCCTGATCGACCTCTCAGAATGTTTATACCACTTGTTAAAATTTGCAATTTGTAGCAAAGTCATCGTTTCTGAGTTAATGGTGAACCTATTATTCCTAAGATTAATGTCTATTACATTTTCCGGACAAATCATTCTTTTTTTGAGTTAATTGTGGAGCTAGTCGTTTTAATTAATTTTAATTCTGCCTTTATTGGCCCGCATCCCCCCTCCCAACGTGATTTATTAAACCGCGCCCATCGATCAACCAGTCCATTTATGTGGAATTTAAATACATTAACTATCTGTAATTTCATTACCTACAAAACATTGGAAATGTAGATATGTTTTGAACAAAGATGTAGAAAACCAATCAGAAATAAATACATATAAGTTGATTATGCTTAAAAAACAACAACAACAACAACAACAACAACAACAACAAAAAGAAGTCTGTGAGCCAATGCTCACTAGTAAGACCCCAGAACTAATGTGAATATACATTATCAAGTAAATATACACAAGTTTTCTTACGGGCAGATGCATGGAGAAATAGGAACTATGATATCGGATTTGAACAAAAATAAATCCCACCATATGGCATATCTCAGCAAAGAATGTGCTAAAATTTCAATCATCTGCGATGAGTATTTACTGAGAAAATTGTGACGAAAATTTGTTATGTTATGTAGGTACGTACAGACACACGGATAAACAGGAAAAATTTCAGGCTAAAATTTCAAACATTTTCGATGAGTAGTTGCTGAGAAAACTGCATTGAAAATTTATAATGCATGGAACGGACGGACGCATGGATAAACATGGATAAACAGGAAGTTGACAACAGATTTGAACAAATACAAATCTTATCATTAAAGTACCTCACCTAATCATGACAAGGAGCACACGGGAGGAGTAACAGGTTTACAGAATATGTTTGGCACCTAAACCAACCTCTGTTTTCCTTTCATGTCTCTTCTGCCTCTGATTTGTATGGTTTTGATGGACTTATGAACATGATTACTGTTTGTTATCTCTCTATATCTCTCTACCTAAGATGTGTTCCTCTATCAAGCTTTCGTCAATACCAGAGTTTTTGGTTAAATATCTCTCTCTCAAGGAACTGTTCAAGTTTCCAATTCTCAATTGAAGTCACAAAAAAATAACAACGAACAAACAAGAATGCACTCAAATTAATGATTAAGAAATTGCTTTATTCACAATTTAATTCATATCAACTCTCATAAATAAATGTTTATTTCATTCACATTTAAAAGTAAGTACCAGCCCCACCACCCAGAAATGATTGCTTAGGTTGTGGGACTGGCATAAGTCCTAAGCAACCCCTGGAACTATTGGAGACACCTCTAGAACTGTTTGATCCAGCCCTCTGGTTTTCTCCAGCACTCGAGACCTTCTCGGATGACCCTCTGGAGAACTTGTATGCTGAAAATTTGAACCCTTTGTCAGAAAATCCACTGCAAAATTAAAGTCAATTCATTGTAGATTAGAATTTAATTATAGTTTTAGTGTTCATTTAAAATTAATGTATGACTATAATGTCAAGCATTTCAGGTTTACAAGAATTTATTTGCTTACATTTGAAACTAGATTCAATTTAGTTAACTCATGATTGTTCCGTTAACTTTGTAAGAAGATACACAATCATTAGTATTATGTAAAATTATAACACTTACATATTCAAACATCCCCCCTTTCATTTTAACTTAAGTGTTCATACCGATGTTATGTATGAGAGCAAAGTCTACTTTGAAAGGATATTCATGCATTTCATAAAGTAAGATACCCTGTTGAACATTCAATTAAAATTAGGGTCATTTCATTACATGTACCCTTGCTCTGCCCTAGTTACAGATATCAAAAACATTACACGTGATGCAGGAATGTTGTAGTTTGCATTGAGAAAACATTTCTAAAAACTTCAAAGGAGACTCTTACTTTAATACTTACAGGATGGTATATGTTCATCTTAAAGAAAAACTCAATCCATTGATAAAATATCTAAATTTCATCCCATGCCTGAGTCAGCGGTACCTGATCTTTAATAAAGCTCTGCCCCTTGTTTTCCCCTATACTGGTTTGTCTCTTACCAAGAATTCCCTGAGCCTGACTGGCTTCTAGCTCCCCTCTTCTTTCTTCAAAAACCTCTCTATGAAGTGAAACAGTTTAATGATAATTAATGAGTTTATTTTCAAAACATATATAATACACAATCATTTACAAGTACAGTTGTTGAACTTCCCTAGAACATAAATTAATCAGTGATATTATATATTAAAGTACCTTTTCGTAGCCCCCCCCCCCCCCCTCTTTCTATCAGTGTTAGATGTAAAAAAAAATGTAAGTAATCAGTGATATTGTAGAAGTACCTTTTTGAAGGCCCCCCTCTTTCTGCCTCTGTTAGATGTAAATAAATGTAAGTTATCAGTGTTGTTGTAGAAGTACCTTTTTGTAAGCCCCCCTCTTTCTGCCTGTGCTAGATGTAAATAAATGTTACTAATCAGTGATGTTGTAGAAGTACCTTTTCGTAGCTCCCCCCCCCCCTCTTTCTATCAGTGTTAGATGTGAAAAAATGTAAGTAATCAGTGATGTTGTAGAAGTACCTTTTTGTACACCCCCTCTTTCTGCCTGTGTTAGATGTAAATAAATGTAAGTAATCAGTGTTGTTGTAGAAGTACCTTTTTGTAAGCCCCCCTCTTTCTGTTTGTGTTAGATGTAAATAAATGTAACTAATCAGTGATGTTGTAGAAGTACCTTTTTTACACCCCCTACTTCTGCCTGTGTTAGATGTAAATAAATGTAACTAATCAGTGATGTTGTAGAAGTACCTTATTGTACACCCCCCTCTCTTTCTGACTGTGTTAGATGTAAATAAATGTAACTAGTCAGTAATGTTGTAGAAGTACCTTTTTGTAACCCCCCTCTTTCTGCCTGTGTTAGATGTAAATAAATGTAACTAATAAGTGATGTTGTAGAAGTACCTTTTTGTAACCCCCCTCTTTCTGTCTGTGTTAGATGTAAATAAATGTAACTAATCAGTGATCTTGTAGAAGTACCTTTTTTGTAACCCCCCTCTTTCTGTCTGTGTTAGATGTAAATAAATGTAACTAATCAGTGATGTTGTAGAAGTACCTTTTTGTAGTCCCATTCTTTCTGCCCGTGTTAGTTGTAAATAAAAGTAACTTATCAGTGATGTTGTAGAAGGACCTTTTTTGCCCCCTTCTTTCTGCCTGTGTTAGATGTAAATAAATGTAACTAATCAGTGATGTTGTAGAAGTACCTTTTTTAGCCCCCCCCCCCCCCCCATCTTTCTGTCTGTGTTAGATGTAAATAAATGTAACTAATCAGTGATGTTGTAGAACTACCTTTTTGTAAGCCCCCCCTCTTTCTGTCTGTGTTAGATGTAAATAAATGTAACTAATCAGTGATGTTGTAGAAGTACCTTTTTTTAGGCCCCCGTCTTTCTGCCTGTGTTAGATGTAAATAAATGTAACTAATCAGTAATGTAGTAGAGGTACCTTTTTTTACGCCCCCTCTTTCTGTCTGTGTTAGATATAAATAAATGTAACTTATCAGTGATGTTGTAGAAGTACCTTTTGTTAGGCTCCCCTCTTTCTGTATGTGTTAGATGTAAATAAATGTAACTTATCAGTGATGTTGTAGATGTACGTAGAAGTACCTTTTTGTAGGCCCCCCTCTTTCTGTATATGTTAGATGTAAATAAATGTAACTACTCAGTGATGTTGTAGAAGTACCTTTTTGTAGGCCCCCCTCTTTCTGTCTGTGCTAGATGTAAATAAATGTTACTAATCAGTGGTGTTGTAAAAGTACATCTTTGAAGCCGCCCCCCTCCTCTTTCTGTCTGTGTTAGATGTAAATAAATGTAACTAATTAGTGATGTTGTAGAAGTCCCTTTTTGTAGCCCCCCCCCCCCCTCTTTCTGCCTGTGTTAGATGTAAATAAATGTAACAAGTCAGTGATTTTGTAGAGGTACCTTTTTTTAGCCCCCCCCCCCTCTTTCTGTTTGTGTTAGATGTAAATAAATGTAACTAATCAGTGATCTTGTAGAAGTTCTTTTTTTGTAACCCCCCTCTTTCTGCCTGTGTTAGATGTAAATAAATGTAACTTATCAGTGATGTTGTAGAAGTACCTTTTTGTAGCCCCCTTCCCTCTTTCTGTCTGTGTTAGATGTAAATAAATATAACTAATCAGTGGTGTTGTAGAAGTACCTTTTTGTAGTCCTCCCCCTCTTTCTGTCTGTGTTTGACGTAAATAAATGTAACTAATCAGTGATGTTGTAGAAGTACCTTTTTGTAGTCCCACTCTTTCTGCCCGTGTTAGTTTTAAATAAAAGTAACTTATCAGTGATGTTGTAGAAGGACCTTTTTTAGGCCCCCGTCTTTCTGCCTGTGTTAGATGTAAATAAATGTAACTAATCAGTAATGTAGTAGAGGTACCTTTTTTTACGCCCCCTCTTTCTGTCTGTGTTAGATATAAATAAATGTAACTTATCAGTGATGTTGTAGAAGTACCTTTTTTTAGGCTCCCCTCTTTCTGTATGTGTTAGATGTAAATAAATGTAACTAATCAGTAATGTTGTAGAAGTACCTTATTGTACACCCCCTCTCTTTCTGACTGTGTTAGATGTAAATAAATGTAACTAGTCAGTAATGTTGTAGAAGTACCTTTTTGTAACCCCCCTCTTTCTGCCTGTGTTAGATGTAAATAAATGTAACTAATCAGTGATGTTGTAGAAGTACCTTTTTGTAACCCCCCTCTTTCTGTCTGTGTTAGATGTAAATAAATGTAACTAATCAGTGATCTTGTAGAAGTACCTTTTTTGTAACCCCCCTCTTTCTGTCTGTGTTAGATGTAAATAAATGTAACTAATCAGTGATGTTGTAGAAGTACCTTTTTGTAGTCCCACTCTTTCTGCCCGTGTTAGTTGTAAATAAAAGTAACTTATCAGTGATGTTGTAGAAGGACCTTTTTTGCCCCCTTCTTTCTGCCTGTGTTAGATGTAAATAAATGTAACTAATCAGTGATGTTGTAGAAGTACCTTTTTTAGACCCCCCATCTTTCTGGCTGTGTTAGATGTAAATAAATATAACTAATCAGTGATGTTGTAGAACTACCTTTTTGTAAGCCCCCCTCTTTCTGTCTGTGTTAGATGTAAATAAATGTAACTAATCAGTGATGTTGTAGAAGTACCTTTTTTTAGGCCCCCGTCTTTCTGCCTGTGTTAGATGTAAATAAATGTAACTAATCAGTAATGTAGTAGAGGTACCTTTTTTTACGCCCCCTCTTTCTGTCTGTGTTAGATGTAAATAAATGTAACTTATCAGTGATGTTGTAGAAGTACCTTTTTTTAGGCTCCCCTCTTTCTGTATGTGTTAGATGTAAATAAATGTAACTTATCAGTGATGTTGTAGAAGTACCTTTTTGTAACCCCCCTCTTTCTGTCTATGTTAGATGTAAATAAATGTAACTACTCAGTGATGTTGTAGAAGTACCTTTTTGTAGGCCCCCCTCTTTCTGTCTGTGTTAGATGTAAATAAATGTAACTAATCATTGGTGTGGTAAAAGTACATTTTTGAAGCCGCCCCTCTCCTCTTTCTGTCTGTGTTAGATGTAAATAAATGTAACTAATAAGTGATGTTGTAGAAGTACCTTTTTGTAGCCCCCCCCCCCCTCTTTCTGCCTGTGTTAGATGAAAATAAATGTAACAAGTCAGTGATTTTGTAGAAGTACCTTTTTGTAGCCCCCCCCTCCTTCTGTCTGTGTTAGATTTGAATAAATGTAACTAATCAGTGATGTTGTAGAAGTACCTTTTTGAAGCCCCCCCCCCTCTTTCTGCCTGTGTTAGATGTAAATAAATGTAACTTATCAGTGATGTTGAAGAAGTACCTTTTTGTAGTCCTCCCCCTCTTTCTGTCTGTGTTTGATGTAAATAAATGTAACTAATCAGTGATGTTGTAGAAGTATCTTTTTGAAGGACCCCCTTTTTCTGTCTGTGTTAGATGTAAATAAATGTAACTAATCAGTGATGTTGTAGAAGTACCTTTTTGTAGACCCCCTCTTTCTGCCAGGGTTATATATAAATAAAAAGCTAATTAGTGATGTTGTAGAGGTATCTTTTTGAAGGACCCCCTTTTTCTGTCTGTGTTAGATGTAAATAAATGTAACTAATCAGTGATGTTGTAGAAGTACCTTTTTGTAGACCCCCTCTTTCTGCCAGGGTTATATATAAATAAAAAGCTAATTAGTGATGTTGTAGAAGTATCTTTCTGTAGCCCCCCCCCCCCCCGCCCTCTTTCTGGCAGTGTTAGGTGTAAATAAATGTAACTAATCAGTGATGTTGTAGAAGAACCTTTTCGTGGCCCCCCTCTTTCTGTCTGTGTTAGATGTAAGTAAATATAACAAATCAATGATGTTGTACGCCTCCCTCTTTCTGCCTGTGTTAGATGTAAATAAATGTAACTAATCAGTGATGTTGTAGAAGTACATTTTTTAACCCCCCCCCTTTCTGCCTGTGTTAGATGTAAATAAATGTAACTAATCAGTGATGTTGTAGAACTACCTTTTTGTAAGCCCCCCTCTTTCTGTCTGTGTTAGATGTAAATAAATGTAACTAATCAGTGATGTTGTAGAAGTACCTTTTTGTAGACCCCCCTCTTTCTGCCAGTGTTAGATATAAATAAATAGCTAATCACTGATGTTGTAGAAGTATCTTTCTGTAGCCCCCCCCCCCCCCCCCCTCTTTCTGCAAGTGTTAGGTGTAAATAAATGTAACTAATCAGTGATGTTGTAGAAGAACCTTTTCGTGGCCCCCCTCTTTCTGTCTGTGTTAGATGTAAGTAAATATAACAAATCAGTGATGTTGTACGCCTCCCTCTTTCTGCCTGTGTTAGATGTTAATAAATGTAACAAATCAGTGCTGTTGTAGGCCACCCTCTTTCTGTCTGTGTTGGATGTAAATAAATACAAATCAGTGATTTTGTAGAAGTACATTTTGTAGGCCCCCCTCTTTCTGTCTGTGTTAGATGTAAATAAATGTAAATAATCAGTGATGTTTTAGAAGTACCTTTGTGTAGTCCCCCGTCCTTCCGCCAGTGTTAGATGTAAATAAATGTAACTAATTAGTGATGTTGTAGAAGTACCTTCTTTGTTGTCCCCCCTCTTTCTGCCTGCATTAGATGAACCTGCTGACTCATCTACAAAGTAGGGAGACTCCCACTCCGGAACATCTGATTCCATCCCCTCCTGCTCTTGTTGTAAATCTACAAAGGGAGATCAATCAGAGGGTACAAAGTACGATCAACTAAATGTACAAAGGGAGATCAATACATACATAATGGGAGATCAATCTAATATACAAAGGGAGATCATTCAAATATAGAAAGGGAGATCAATTAATAGGTAGAAAGGGAAATTAATCAAATGTACAAAGGGAGATCAATCTAATGTACAAAGGGAGATCATTCAAATATACAAAGGGAGATCACAAGTAGTAGAAAGGGAGATCAATAACATCATACAAGAAGAAATCAATATAAAGGGAGATCAATCAAGTTATAAAAAGGAGATAAAGCAAACCAAGTAAGATTAATAGAGATCATTAAAAGAAGATTGAAGTTCAATCAAACTAAATATGAAGGAAACATCAATAAAACAATTTAATTAGAATTTCACTTGACAATGCTGAATTTCTTTTAAAAATAGTTTAAAGTCTTACAAAAAAACACATTCAATTCAAAACCCACCTCATTTATAACACAATTTGAAATCTATGTCACAACTTGGAATATGCAGATTAGAGTAATTAACATACTGGGGAGGATAAGTTGATAATTCTTGGTGATTTCCAGATATTTCTCAGCTCCATATTTGTTGACTTTGGCTTTAGGCAAACCATCTATACTTGCAGTCATTTCGTCTACAGTCAATGGTGTCTTTTCTGCCAACTGTCGTAGTGTTAAAATACAGTTGCGTAGTTACGTAGGCCATGCTCAGCAGCTGTAAAAAAAAATCAGATCTATATGTTTCATCTTTTTTAATATACTATAGACGTACTTTTTTCCACGGGGTCATAATTCCGCGGAATCTCAACGGATTTCCTAAACTGTCACTATATGCCTTGCATTTTATATTAAGTACGCTTGGACAAATTTCTGCGGAACATAGTGTACATAGTGTATATTAATACCACGCGGAAAAAGGTAATTCTACAATAATCAGAAAAGAAAGTTTAAAATAATTTTTAGCTTTTTAAAAAAAAAAACCTTTTCACTTAATTTAGATGATTCACTGGTTTTATATTATAAAGCTTTCCAAATTTTGTAAACTAGGCTAGTTTTGAATTAAATCAATACACAGAGGAGAAATTCAAACTAAACAGTAGAAAGATGACCAAATTTTCTAAATGTACAATCTTATACATTTTGCACAAAAATAGATTAGTGTGTTTCTCATCATTATACCCATTCACATATTTATCTTGAGAAAAGCATTTGTTTTCATGGCTTAACGTTCTCCCGTTTACTGACCGGTTCTTTACCGATCTTAGCCACTTCCTTCCTACTGCCCTGTACCTGTAACTCCACCTGCAAAAAAGAATTCATTAATTTTCAGAAAGAAAATAATTGTGTAAATTTCATCTACGTTTTCGTTATTAATGAATTAATAAAACATATTGCTTGCAGTACAACAGCAGTGACATCTCCTTTTTTCAACTTGATAGAAATGAGAAAAGAAACATTGATAAATCTAATTATTCAAGATAATGAGGGGGGACAAAATAAAGAATCTATATGAACGTAGTCAAGACTATCTGCATTTCACATATGAACCATTTTTATTGTTGATTTTTTAATCACAATATATTTTCCTCCATACGTAATACTGTTCGGGAAGTCCCACCTTGCGTTTTCCCATCATCACGTCATTGGCTTTAGGTCCGAGCCTGATATAACAAGCTGTGGTGTCTGCGGCAGTAATTTTTAAGTCCTCCTGTAAAATGGCTTCGATAACTAATTTTCTCAGCAGTCTTTCAGCATCAGCCCTGCTGTAATTTTCACCACGACCATGAAGGGGTATCCTGTCATGACCAGCATCAGCAATTTTACCAGTCTTGGCTCCTTGAAATGTGCAAATTGGTTAGCATAATTATCATATTTAATTATATGGCATGCACGTATAATAACTAAATGCAAATATTTGGTACAAAACTAAAGCATATACATGTATATATATATGTGTGAATACGGATTAAACAGTGGTAAAGTTGGTTTGGCATTTACTGTAACATTAACTGAATGGAATGTTGATAACACTTTGCTATCTTACGTAACACTAGAAATAAGTCGCATGTAGAAGAATTCAAATTACTAAAACACATAGTGTATACAAGGAAATAGTGACTACAAATGGTTTCTGAGAAAGATTCTTCTTTTCCTCTAAAAATATCCACAAAGTAGATAAGGGTCTAGTCGTTTCCCAGTCTTCCATTGACGGTCAGATCCTTCACACACTTCACAATATCCTTGACATCATCTTTGACATCACGGAGTTGGAAGGACTCCTTAATATATAAGAATCAAATAATCAATCATCCAAAACTGCATACCAAAACAATTTATATAAGTTTTAGATACAGATGTACAACAATTTTTCTAACATCTTGGTACATGTTAATTATTCAATCTGGAATACATATATGATGTACCTGTATATGTAAAAATACATGTCTTTCGATTCCTTCTTTCCAATTAAGTTTCATTCATTCATTCATTTATTGAGAAATTACGCATGTATTTCAAATAAATGTCATGTATGAAACAAATATAGAGCAAAAACTTTCATTACTGCAATGTAGCGCTGTGAAATATGTTGAGTGAAAATTCAGATAAAAGTTAACAGAACATAAATAATTGTCAGTTTTGAAAATTCCTTTGATATTTTGTTTGATACTGTTCTAAAGTAATGAATATATGCGGAGCCAGTTCTATTGAAAACCTAAGCTTACACTTACATAAACTATAATTACATATATTATATACAAAAATCCAAGCAAAACAGAAAATAATTCTTACCTTAGACACACCATTGTCACAGATAGCTCCACGGAAATTCCCACACTCCTCTCTATTAAAGTCTCGTTCTCCGAAGTAATTAAGCAGCTGTGATCGTCTACAGTCGGCCACGTTCTCACAGTACTGAACCATTCTGAAGAGGTTGTCTATATGAACTCTTTTGGAATCAAATGTGGCTGCCTGATCCACTGTGAAGAATCAAAACACTCTTCACATAATGAAGTCAAAATCAAAATGTGGGGATTGATTCTCTGCAAAATTCAACATGTTATCTCAAAAATCATGGGACCAAGAAAAATCTCTTAGATATCCGAGGACTTGAGATACCAACTATAAAACAATTTTAGAAATAAATGGTTGAAACTTAAAAATCCTTTCAATATATATGCATGATATTCAAACTCATGAAGTTCAACTGTATCTAATGACCCTCTAACAAGATGTATATAACATAAGAATTAATGTTACATGTATTCTTTTGACGTCCTGGAACGTGTTGTACATTATAACAGACCCCTCCTACTTACTCTCTATATAATCCTCCTCAGTCTTTTGACGTCCTGGTACGTGTAGTACATTATAACAGACCCCCCTACTTACTCTCTATAATTCTCAGTCTTTTGACGTCCTGGTATGTGTACTACATTATAACAGACCCCCCCTACTTACTCTCTATAATCCTCCTCAGTCTTTTGACGTCCTGGTACGTGTAGTACATTATAACAGACCCCCCTACTTACTCTCTATAATCCTCCTCAGTCTTTTGACGTCCTGGTACGTGTAGTACATTATAACAGACCCCCGTACTTACTCTCTATCATCCTCCTCAGTCTTTTGACGTCCTGGTACGTGTAGTACATTATAACAGACCCCCCTACTTACTCTCTATAATCCTCCTCAGTCTTTTGACGTCCTGGTACGTGTAGTACATTATAACAGACCCCCTACTTACTCTCTATAATCCTCCTCAGTCTTTTGACGACCTGGTATGTGTAGTACATTATAACAGACCCCCCTACTTACTCTCTATATAATCCTCCTCAGTCTTTTGACGTCCTGGTATGTGTAGTACATTATAACTGACCCCCTACTTACTCTCTATAATCCTCCTCAGTCTTTTGACGTCCTGCTATGTGTAGTACATTATGACTGACCCCCCCCCCCCCCTACTTACTCTCTATAATCCTCCTCAGTCGTTTGACATCCTGGTACTTGAAGTACATTAAAAAATATCCCCCTTACTTACTATCTATAATCATCCTCAGTCTTTTGACGTCCTGGTACGTGTAGTACATTATAACAGACTCCCCTACTTACTCTCTATAATCCTCCTCAGTCTTTTGACGTCCTGGTACGTGTAGTACATTATAACAGACCCCCTACTTACTCTCTATAACCCTCCTCAGTCTTTTGACGTCCTGGTACGTGTAGTACATTATAACAGACCCCCCTACTTACTCTCTATATAATCCTCCTCAGTCTTTTGACGTCCTGGTATGTGTAGTACATTATAACAGACCCCCGTACTTACTCTTTATAATCCTCCTCAGTCTTCTGACGTCCTGCTACGTGTAGTACATTATAACAGACCCCCCTACGTACTCTCTATAATCCTCCTCAGTCTTTTGACGTCCTGGTACGTGAAGTACATTATAACAGACCCCCTACTTACTCTCTATAACCCTCCTCAGTCTTTTGACGTCCTGGTATGTGTAGTACATTATAACAGACCCCCTACTTACTCTCTATAACCCTCCTCAGTCTTTTGACGTCCTGGTACGTGTAGTACATTATAACAGACCCCCTACTTACTCTCTATAATCCCCCTCAGTCTTTTGACGTCCTGGTACGTGTAATACATTATAACAGACCCCCTACTTACTCTTTATAATCCTCCTCAGTCTTCTGACGTCCTGGTACGTGTAGTACATTATAACAGACCCCCCTACGTACTCTCTATAATCCTCCTCAGTCTTTTGACGTCCTGGTACGTGTAGTACATTATAACAGACCCCCCACTTACTCCCTATAATCATCCTCAGTCTTTTGATGTCCTGGTATGTGTAGTACATTATAACAGACCCCTCTACTTACTCTCTATAATCCTCCTCAGTCTTTTGACGTCCTGGTACGTGTAGTACATTATAACAGACTCCCCTACTTACTATCTATAATCATCCTCAGTCTTTTGACGTCCTGGTACATGTAGTACATTATAACAGACCCCCTACTTACTCTCTATAATCCCCCTCAGTCTTTTGACATCCTGGTACGTGTAGTACATTATAACAGACCCCCTACTTACTCTCTATAATCCTCCTCAGTCTTTTGACATCCTGGTACGTGTAGTACATTATAACAGACCCCCCTACTTACTCTATATAATCCTCGTCAGTCTTTTGACGTCCTGGTACGTGTAGTACCTTATGTCGACAAAATAGATTAAAGGTCACGAATTCTATATTTCAATAGCATTTCACACAAAGATTAATTAAAAATTATTAAAACTTTAAAATTTTTGGCGGGTTTGATTGACACATCCTTGTACTTTCACAAATCTTAATCCTTTGGACAAGTGGCATTATTTCCTATGTAGCTTGTAACACGAGTTTTGATTGGTTACAAAGTCGGGTGTAAATTTCCGTGCACCCGACTTCAGCCGGGGGTAAATAAAACGTGACGTCACAATGCATGTCTATCTACACGCACGAAAAAACAAAAAAAAAAAACAAAACAAAATACAAATGAGATGGGGAAAAGTAGGATAAATAATCTATTCTTCTAAACAATAACACAAATAAAAAATTCGTTGTATTGTAATAACGATTTGTTAAAATTTCACACAAATTAAAAGAAATCAATCGATAATTAACTCGAACTTTTTTCTTTCGAGTATATATACAAAGCGAAATAACTCTTTCAATCATCGTCTGCGAAAATGGCGAAAAGATTTGCCTCACATACTCCGTCGGAAATAATAGATAAACGGGCCAATGTTGTGCCAAAAAATACCATTAAAGGGAACCAAAAAAAGCGCAAAAATGTTGAGGGATTACCTAAAAGAAAAAAAAAACAAGCCTTGGATTTCGAAAACTTTGACGCTCATCAATTGAACGAAGTTCTCTCTCACTTTTACTTAGACTTGCGAAAGATTGACGGAGAATTGTATAAATCTACATCCCTAGAAAATACACGGTATAGATTAAATCGGTATTTAAAAGCTCCACCTTTCTTAAAAACAATTGATATAATAAAAAAGTTCCAGAGTTTTATTCATGTAACGAGAGTTTCAAAACAGCCATGGCCGAGTTGAAAAAAAGAAGGAAAGGGAGATGTGGAACACTATCCCTGCATAGAGGATTGTGACATTAAAAAACTATATAATAGTGTGCATTTATCGACCGAAACTCCTTGTGGACTACTCAATAAAGTCCAAATGGACATAAGACTTTATTTTTGTCGAAGGGGATTAGAAAATATGGCACAGATGACGAAAGATACATTTTGTGTTTCCACTGATCCGAACACTGGACTGAGATACGTAAAAAAAGCCAAAGATGAACTGGTAAAAAATAGAAGATCGAATGAAAAAGAAAATTTTGGAGGCTGTATGGTTGAAAATAAAGACTCACCTCTTTGTCCAGTTGCATCCTTTCAGAAATATACAACGAAATTAAATCCGGAAAATACCCGACTGTGGCAGCGACCTCGAGAAACATTCCTAGATAGTGACCCCATATGGTACACAAAACAGCCTTGTGGAAAAGATTCCCTTAGTTCTTTCATGTCAAAACTCAGCAAAAAGTGTGACCTCTCCCGAATTTACACAAACCACTCAATCAGGGTTACCGGAACTAGCATCCTTTTTAAAAACAACTTAGTTGATTCGCAAATCATGTCCGTAACGGGCCACAAATCGGTGAACTCCCTTGCTGTGTACCACCGAGTTTCGGAACATGAAAAATTGCAAATGAGTAGGGCAATACAAAACACTGTCAACACCGAGCAACCATGTTTACCAGCACCACCGATCATTCCTATGTTACCCGCCCCGCCTACTCAAAGTGACCTCAGCATTGTGTCGAGTGACACCGCATCAGGAGGCGACAATCTTCAATTGCAAGGTGTAAACATTGATGACCTTTTTGATGACATGTATGAAGAACGGTCACAAATATCAAGCATGGTATCCATGAATAAAACTACAGTAAATGTTCAACAAAGACGAGCAAATTTTGCACTGTTCAATTGGCACTGTTCAAATCATTTACAAGTCGTAATTTTTAAAAGAACTAAACAGACTTTTTTTTCAAAGTGTTCATAATTTTTGATTAATTAAAAATGTTGGTTAAATTTAAAATTGACTTTATTGTTTTAATTTTTATACACAGCTCAAAGATCACATGTTCTGACGAGTTTATAAATACGCAGGAGTACATAAATATTTTGAAAGTGTTATATATACAACCTTGTTTTGACATAAGAAATAAATTTATTTGTTTTACATAGGAAATAAATTCGTTATCCAGGTCCAATCAAGGGTGTACGGGGATTTACCCCAGGTTTTATTCCATACACCCTTCGGCCTTGAATATAGTTATATATCATTGAATATCGTTGTATCATTGAATATCTTTGAATATTGTTGTATCATTGGATACCATTGAATATCATTGAATACCATTGCATATCATTGAATATCGTTGTATCATTGAATATCATTGAATATTGTTGTGTCATTGGATACCATTGAATATCATTGAATATTGTTGCATATCATTGAATATCGTTGAATACCATTGAACTATCATTGTACCCATATAGTAGCAGTTATTCAATAGACACTTTGTGTACATCATTGCATTGATACCTTATGTACATCATTGTATTGATACCTTGAGTACATCATTGTATTGATAATTCATTTTGACTATTATTCAATAAAGCCATGACAAAAACTGCCAATCATTGTTAATCTATATATTTTGTCGACATAATCAGACTTAACTCAATATGAGTTAAGTCACGTTATGGAGACAAATAGAGATATGGTCCAGGAAAGATAACTCTCATGCAAATGTATACACTTAACAAAACTTCTAAGTGTTCACTTTAATAAATGCATTTATTTAAAAACTACTTTATAGAATGGTATGATATTTTCACACTATTACAACAAATGAGTCTTCTCAGAAACTGTAGAAAGAAAATTCAACATCACCGATGAAAACCAATGTTCCGTGACGAAGCTTAAAAACAATAAATCTGTACTTTGCAGTACGTGTTTTGTGTAATAAGCATCTTTTTGTGATCATTATCAAATTTTAAAAACTGGTTTCACTAAAAAACACAAAACATTGGCAAAATAACCATTGATGTAGAGGGGAGAGCCGTTGGAATATTGATATCTGGACCATCTTCGCACCACGTTTTACTCATATTCATTTTAGTGCTTAATTGTACTTGATATTACTTTTAAAAATTATCAAACAATATCAAAAACCCATTTAAGCACATTTTTGTATACGCTGTGCTCATTTTTTCATCACCAATATATCACAATTTGAAAGTTTTTGACAAAATTTAACCACACCGGAAGTGACCTTAATATTCATCTTGGGAGAAAATTTCGCGTTATACCAAGTAAAGAGAGTGTTCAAGTGTCCTGAAAAAATCTTAGAAACATGGAAACAAACCTATTCAATCGTATGAAAATGATAGGAAATCGGTGCTCGTGGCAGTCTTATATCAGCTCAAGCAGTCTGAATTATCCTTAAAGTGGCGCACTTACGTGCTAAACACCCAAGGATATTGACCAAAAGGTACTTGTGTGACGATACACTGGCAAATTCCCGGATCTGAATCCCATGGAACACTTTTGGGATTTTAAAAGAAATGTCAAAGCCCCCCCCCCTTTTCCTCACAATTTAAATGGTTTGGAAGATCTCGTATGCAGTACATGTAGGTTTGACAGTAGATGGGTCAATCTCCTATTCAGGGGTACATGGTATCCAACAATAAAGATTGTCTTGAAGTAATAGAGCGAGTAGTGGATCGTACTCCATCGAGATTTTTTTGTGCGAATTTTCATTTTGAGGGTACATCATTTCCTTGACACTTTGCTTAAAATTCTGACGAGATACTTACATGAAATTTACGCAACATTGAACTTAAATATGCATCATTAACCAAGAATTAAAGAAATTATTTATTGTTTGCATTTGTTCTTTAAAACTTCAAAAATGTGAGGTGAACACTTAGAAGTTTGGTTCAGTGTATAACTGCTTAGCCACATCCATTACGCATGTGCATTTTACTCTTCCTTTTCAATCTTCTGTCATCCATTGAAGCTCAGCATCCCACCCATCCTCCCCATTCACCAGATTTTAATAAGTTGTTATTTTATTTTGACAAAGTTGTTGCTGCTGTCTTTGATTTCTTTTTTCAGTCATCATCCACTCCCTTGGCTACCAACAGAAGAATACGTTACATCCTTTCCCTTGACTACCAGCAGAAGACTCCATTACATTTCCTCTTGGCTACCAAAAGAAGAATCCATTACATTTGATTCCTTGGTTACCAGCAGATGAATCCGTTACATCCGTTCCACTTGGCTACCAGCAGAAGAATCCATTACATTCGATTTCTTGGCTACCAGCAAAAGAAACTATAAGCGTCATGGCTTTTCTTAGGTATGATTTAACTGCGGTGTACTTGGACTTCTTACGGACTGTGAACCGAATTTTGCTAGAAGCTCGCTGCTGATCCTGTTATCTTCCAGGGTCCGTGGCCAATAATTGGGCTTATGTCATTCTATGAACCTTATACATCATTCCCTGTTGAAAAAGTCGATGTAGTTCATGGTCCTGGTTATACATCGTTACCTGCTCATTGCTATGCAGGTATCATTGTATATCATAGAATATCATTGTATATCATTGAATAATGTTGCATATCATTGAATATAGTTGTATATTATTGAATATCATTGTATCATTGAATATCATTGAATATCATTGAATATTGTTGTATCATTGGATACCATTGAATATCATTGAATACCATTGTATATCATTGAATATCACTGAATATCGTTGCAAATCATTGAATATCATTGAATATTGTTGTATCATTGGATACCATTGAATATCATTGAATATTGTTGCATATCATTGAATATCGTTGAATACCATTGAACTATCATTGTACCCATTTAGTAGCAGTTATTCAATATACACTTTGTGTACATCATTGCATTGATACCTTATGTACATCATTGTATTGATACCTTGAGTACATCATTGTATTGATAATTCATTTTGACTATTATTCAATAAAGCCATGACAAAAACTGCCAATCATTGTTAATCTGTTTTGTCGACATAATAGACAAATCAATCATCAATACAATCAATAGTCAAATCAATCATCAATACAATACAATGATGTACACAAGGTATCTCTACAATGATGTACATAAAGTATCAATTCAATGATGTATACAAAGTGTATATTGAATGATTAACACACAATGGGTACAATGATATTCAATGATAAACAATGATATTCAATCAATGAAGTACGCATAGTGTATACATGTATTTACACAATGGTTACAATGATATACAATGATATGCAATGATAATCAATGATATGCAATAATATGCAATGGTATTCAATGATATACATTGATATTCAATGATAAATGAATTGCAATGAGCAGGTAGCAATGTATTACAAAGACAATGGTCTACTTCGACTTTATCAATAGTATATGACGTAGAATCAATAGCAATGGCACAATGATGGAAGCTCAATTATTGGCCACTGGACCATATATCCTGCAGTTCAATGAGACCTAAGAAAAGCCATGACGCTAACGGGTTTTTCTTTTGGTAGCCAAGGAACGGATGTTATGGATTCTACCGCTGGTAGCCAAGGGAACGGAAGAATTGGATTCTTCTGCTTGTGGTCAAGGGAATGGATGCAATGGATTCTTCTGCTGCTGGTCAAGGGAATGGATGTAATGGATTCGTCTGCTGGTAATCAAGGGAATGGATGTTGACTGAAAAAGGAAATCAAAGACAGCAGCAACATTTTGTTGACACAAAAGAACAATTCATCAAAATCATATAAAGTGGGAAAGGTGGGTGGGATGCTGAACTTCAATGGATGACAGAAGATGGAAAGGAAGAGCAAATGCACATGCGTAATGGATGTGGCTAAATGAAGTCAGTGCATTTGAGTGAGAGTTATCTTTCCTGAACTTTTTATCTCTATTTGTCTCCATAACGAGACTTAACTCATATTGAGTTAAGTCGGATTATAACAGACCCCCTACTTACTCTCTATAATCCTCCCCCAGTCTTTTGACATCCTGGTATGTGTAGTACATTATAACAGACCCCCCTACTCACTCTCTATAATCCTCCTCAGTCTTTTGACGTCCTGGTACGTGTAGTACATTATAACAGACACCCCTACTTACTCTCTATAATCCTCCTCAGTCTTTTGACGTCCTGGTACGTGTAGTACATTTTAACAGACCCCCCTACTTACTCTCTATAATCCTCCTCAGTCTTTTAACGTCCTGGTACTTGTACATTATACAGTGGGCTAGTAGTCCGTCCCTCCCGGCTCGCCCAGCCTCCTGCTAAAATCCCTCCACAGACTTTTGTAAGGAGTAATAAATAACAAATCTGACGTCAGGTTTGTCAATCCCCATTCCAAAAGCAATGGTGGCACATATAACCTGATAATACATATAGAGTCTAGATGCTTGGGTTTGCAACAAATTGTCAAATTAATGAAAGTCTTAATTTTTTAGGGGTTTCAATAAACAGTTGAGTATTCAACTGTCAGTAGAATGGACTAATGATCTAATAATGAAAGGACATTTGAATATTAGCAAGAGGCGCATGGGCCGGATCGCCCACGAGTAATATTGGCCCTACTGTTCTTCATCAGTAGTACCTACTGTAGACCAACCCTACCCAAGGGGTCATGATTTGAACAATTTAAAATCTACAATAGCCCAGGAAGCTTCCACTCAAATTTCAGCTTTTCTGGCCCAGTGATTGTTTTAGTTTTTTTTTTTTTTTTTTTTTTTGAAAGATTTTTCCTATATATTGCAAGGTAAAACTTGGACTCCCCATTGTTGCCCTGTCCTACCCACAGGACAGCACAGGGATCATAATTTAACACTATCCAAGGATGCTTCGACATAATTTGCAGCTTTTTTGTCCCATTGGTTCTTTAGGAGGATATTTTAAAACACTTTTTACCATATATTTCAATGTAAAACTTGGTTTCCGTATTTTGGCCCCACCCTACCCCTGAGGGTCATAATTTTAATAATTTGGAATCTTCACTACTACCCAAGGATGCTTCTATATAAGTTTCAGCTTTTATGATTTAGTAGTTCTTGAGAAGAGGATTTTTAAAGATTTGTCCTTTATATATCAATGTAAAACTTGGATTCCCTATTGTGGCCCCGCCTTCCCCCTGGGGTCATGATTTAAACAATTTAGAATCTACACTACCACAGAATGCTTCCACATAAGTGTCAGCTTTTCTGGTCCTTAAGCTCTTGAAAAGATTGATTAATTGTATGTTGTTTAACGTCCCGCTCGATAATTTTTCACTCATATCGAGATACCACCACTTGCCGGTGGACAGCTAAAAATTGTGTCCTATGCTCAACGCTCTACTGCGACACGATTCCTCAGTTTATACGGTCTCATCTGAAGACCGGTCTCCACATCCCAAATTGGGATTCAAATCCACAACGTAAGGATTGACTCCTTACTTCGCGACACTAGAGCAGATGCTCTAACTACTGTGCCACGCGGACAACTGTCAACTTCTTGAAGAGAAGATTTAAATAAAAATTTCAGACCTATACATTTCTACGGATTCCCTGTTGTGCCCCCCTACCTCCAGTGGTCATGATTTGAACAATTTAAAATATACACAACCTCAAAATGTTTCCACAAAATATTCAGCTTTTCTGGCCCAGAGGTTCTTGAGAAGATTTTTTTAATGACCCCATCCTATTTTGTCATCCAAATATTCGACTAATATTTGAATAATACAATCATTAAAAAGAGCTCGGTTCACTTTATGCATAAATTGGTCCTGTAGACTGATTAACACTTGATGTTCCATTTGAAGCATTAAAATAAATTAAATAGACTATAGAGACTTGGTGCTTTCATTTCTTATTAAAAAATTTTCTCCTAAAAGTCAAGGTCTTGTAGAACTGGCTTAAATATGAAATTGCAATGTTCTTGAATTTTAATGTCAACAGGTATACTAGTATTTGAGTACTTTCAGTGAAGAAAAATAATCTGAGCGCACTCTCTGATCTAAAAAATAAAATATGTCTTTTAATCCTCAGAAACAGTTCTATCATTTACTAGTTGCATATTTTAGATCAGAGGTTGCACTCCATTCAAATATCGATAAATATGCAAGTGAGTTAAGGCTACATATGGAGGTTTCTATAAAAATATCTAAATAAACAAGTTGCTGTCCTTTAAAAAAGGACTACAATACGTGGACCATATGCATGTGTTTCTAAACGAAATTCAATTCAAGACAATTCCTAGGTTTAGTGAATATTCATGTAGGTTCGTTCACATTTTCTATTATGATCTGCCTACTTTGACTGATAGTACTTACATATAGCAAAATTGTTAAATGTTATCTCCGATTGACCTATGTAGTATTGTCATTTAAAGAAATTGGGCTATATTTATACATGTAACCCATAATGGCTGGGACTTTACATCTGTTCTGGATTTATACGGAAGAAATCTATAATTGGGAAAATAGATCTGATGATACACGTGTAGCACAGCTCTGTAGTACGCAGCTCTTTTTTTCAGAGCCCCCCCCCCTCCTCCACATGGAAAACATGGATTGCTGTATATCAAATTATTTTTGCAAGGCTTGATGCACAAAACAAATGCCGAAGAAGACTTGTTCTATCTTTTTAAACCTAGAACTATTCGTTGAATGAAGTTCTTAATTCAAGTTGCATTCTATATTCTGCAAGTTCCTCCTATACTTTAAAAAAAAACCGCATCTGCCGTAGAATCGATGTTTAGTTTCTATATAAATGTGTATGTATAAGAAAGAAAATTTTGCCAATAAATTAATAAATACGATATGCAGATTTAAAGCTGAGATTTGCCGATGAACATGGTATATTGTAATTCGAATAGGGCGAATTATTCTACGGGTAAGCTGTCTTAGGGGAGGGGGGGCGAACTCTCCCAATCGCAAATTCTCGGGCCTTTGCGACTTGCGGAAGTTGTTTTTCCAACCTCTGACGGAAAAACCCGAGATGACTCTCCAGCATTCTCACGCATGCGTAGCCTGACGTGTGACCATGGCATCCGGTTTAACCTCGCTTATATATTTACTGCATGGACCTCAGGGTCCACGCAATAACATAAGTGCTCTACCTACTGCACAGAAAACGTTAAGACTTATTTCCTAATATTTACATTCGCTGTGTTTTTATACTAAGCCAACTGTGAAATTGATTTGAAAGTCATTTTTGTGTATATTCACGCGTAGAAATATACACGGAGAAACGTGCGTTAACGTGACGTCACAATGAGGCTGCAGCGACGTTAGTAAAAATGCAGCAATATAGGACAGCGAAAAAATTAAATATTGAGTATATTTTAGTTGCTTCCATACAAGTCATGTAAAATGTAAATATAAGGAATGTTTTTCAGTTTAGTGTGAATTATTGGTGTGTGAATCACACAGACTTACACGTAGAATCTAGGTATATTTTTCATGAAGCGCTAGCGCGCTACGTGACAAGTCTGTGTGATTCACACACCAATAACTCACACAAAACTTAAAAACATTCCTTAAATACATTCTTGGTACCCATAACATGCGATAGCCAGTACACATTATGACGTCATATTATGACATCATCGACCTCTACTACAAAAGTTATGAGAAACATCAACAAAATCGCTTCGGCGCAAGGGCATACCTTACTTAGTTTTACAGAAACGAGGTATAAAAAGATGCAGGATATTCCAAGGTTTTAAGATATTGCTGCACAAATGTCAGCACCACAATTGTTTCTTCCTGTAGTTTTTAGTTTAAACAGGGTAAAAATTCACAGTCCAGTGTAAGTTTACTTCTTTATCGATTGAGAAAGTGCATAGGATTTGTGCAGCAATTTTATTATTTTTTTTAATTTATAATACATAGGTTAAAACCTCCCTGGGATCCAAGTATATAGTCTAAAAAGTGGCTTTTTAATCTGTCGCACGGGCATAGGGCAAAATTTGGACCGTAGAATAAAACACAGCAATTATATTTTGTGCTAAAAGTTAGGACTTTTACATGTAACAATGCATAAATATACTGAATTTTAGCACTTTAAAACATTTGTCTACAGTGAAATTTTAAAAAACTGTAAAATGACTATGTCGCAAAATTTGTGTAATTTACGTTATCAAAATACTGTGGTTTCATCAATTTTCGTGGAATTTGTAAAACAGACATTTTCGAGGATACGTAATTTCGTGGACAAAAGCATTGCCTATACAAATGTATGTCATATTTCCTAATTCAATGGACATCTGAATTCATGGATCGGCTCAACAACGAAATCCACGAAAATTGGTGCTCAACGAATAATGATGAAACCACAGTATTATCATTTGTTTTAAAAGCATTAAAAAGTATCTAAAAACATAAACTATCTACCTGAATATCCAACGAAGTCCATAAAATGCAACAGAATCAAAGAAAAGTTATATGACAGGATACTTACAAAAACACATTGGTCTTGTAACCAGAGGTGAGCGGTTCGTTTTAAGGATGTATTTTACGTTATCAACGATACTACAAGAATGCGAGTATAAGTGTCTTTGCATACAAATTTATTTATTCTTCCTGACGTACCAAACACGTAAAATATCAAAACGAGCATTGGTCTGTGCCAGTACTCATTTTACACCAATGAAACTGATAAAAAGTAATTTACGTTTATGTAATTAACGTTATGAGTAGAAAACATACATGGTACATATCTTGCAAATAAGACGTTGGAACAATACGGAACCATGCAGGAAACGTTAGTGGTTTTCTCTCCAAAGCATCTTAACATCACCGAACTTTCCGATGTAGCTCTGATGCAGGAAGCGCAGAAGATAACGTAAATTACGTGTTACTTTTACAAACTTTCAAATTTTTTTATTGATTCGTCAAGAATGCATTTTTGGCGTGGATTTTAATTGATTTTACGAACAATGTGTACTTCTTTTTATTTGAAGCAATAGTTCACGCATAAATCTCTGTTCATTGGTGACTTACTGAAGCAAAACATTCATAACGTAAATTACAGTAAAAATAACGTAAATATGCTTTGAATGTCTTTCTCTGTAATTATATTTCATAAACTTCGTTTATCAGAGATGGTAAGGTCGAAAGAAGAAATTTAAGGAGGAACAGGACCTTTAGCTGAAAAAATTCCTGTCAATGAATTTTTTTTCGTATTTATATATTTCTAATTTAATAATTTCAATTCAATTCACTTTATTGACAATTACCATGTCGGCATACAGTCATGAACATTTAAATAACATAACAGATTAACACAATTAATACAAGCATATACAAAGTGAGATATATGAGGCGAACAAAAATTGTGTATTTCTCAATATTAATATTCATTTTTGACTT